AAATTGGAGGCTGAATTTATTCATGTTATTACTCCATGGTTTCTCTTCCCACTGTCTTTTCTCCTCTCTCCTCTTTAATTCCCTTTTCTCCAGAATCCCAAATTCCTACCCTCAACCTATTGTGTCACAGAGAAAGCCTGGCTAGTTTGTCAGGATATGCCTCAGGTCATCATTGAACTTGACAAATCAAGATACTTACACTTATATTAGATTGATTTTACTCACTTTTAGGGTGAATTAATTTATAAAAAGAGACCATTTTTATGTTATTATTAACTTGCCTCATTTTGAGCAATGTCTCCGTAAAGGAATCATATATTTTTAATTGCCAAGAAAAGAACTTAGATGATAAGCCCAACACTCACTTCGTCCAAAACAAAAAAGCTGGTTTTTTCTCCCAGGTTGGCACCCTTAAGCAATGCTTCATTTCTTTCTGTTCTTTCAGGCTAAGCATCTTGCAGCCCTATAATGTGTTTTGTCATCCAAGCAACTATCCACCTATAGAAACATGCAGCGAGGTTGGAAGAGAGGATATGGTGCTTGCATTGCAAGTTGCAGCCTACTACCTCATACGGGCCCCAATAACAGTGCCAGAAGTGATCCCTGAGCAGATTCAGGCATAAGTCATGAGTGAGCACTGCCAGTTGTGCCCCTAAGCCCCCCCAAAATGGAACAAAAGTTCTATGCAGGTTGTACCTATCCTATGAGGACTCCTATTTTCCTCTTCTGCTTCTAATAGTCTCCATGCACTAAACTCATCAAATCCTTAACATTCTCACTTAACATCATTGCTATATGATACTCTGAAGAGATTAATTCATGACCTGTTCTTTTAAATATAATTCCTTACATGTTTGGATTTTAATGCTTTGTTTCCTTTCTTCTTTCAGGCTTCTTTCCTTTTTAGACTTCTAAAATCACTCCATTCCGGAGCCTGGAGCAATAACACAGTGGGTAGGGAATTTGCCTTGCATGCGACTGACCCAGATTTGATTCCCAGCATCCCTGAGCACCGCCATGGGTAATTCCTGAGTACGGTCAGGAGTAACCTCTGTGCATTGCTGGGTGTGACCCAAAAAGAAAAAGAAAAAAGAAAAAAATAACTCCATTCCCCCTTTAAAATTGTGTTAATTAAACATTGATCCTTACTTATCCTAGAAATTACAACATGCATTGTTGACAACACAAGAATATCAAAACACTAACTCCACGTACCCCATCCCATACACCTAATGTGGACTCCAGTTGATATATCATTGTCATTTGCTATAGTATTGTCATTCTTTACTTTGAACATTACAATGCTTTATTTTTATTCATAAAAATCATTTAGATTGACCTACAAATTACTTATACTTGGGTTGTGTGTTTCTTCCTGCGTTGCAGAATTTCTGAGAACATTTTCCTTGTTTCTGAAAAGCAGTGGAGCTTTACTAAGGGTTTGTAAATAACTATTCTGAATCAAAGAGGCCTCAGATTTAACACCTAAGTCAATTTGGAGCACCACTGAGTTCCTCAAAACACTGCCTGAAGAAACCTCCATACACTGATTGCTAGTAGCCCCTGGGCACTAGATGGTGGGAGCCCCAATCAAAATAAAATAAGTCTTAGTTCCAGGAAGGTTGGATCTGCCCCCTATGGTTTGGTTCATTTTTTTTTGTTTTGTTTTGTTTGTGTTTGTTTTATTTTGCTCTTTGGGTCACACCCGGCAATGCACAGGGGTTACTCCTGGCTCTGGACTCAGGAATTACTCCTGGCAGTGCTCGGGGACCCATATGGGATGCTGGGAACCCAGGTCAGCCACATGCAAGGCAAACGCCCTACATGCTGCGCTATCACTCCAGCCCCATGGTTTGTTTTGTTTACTACAGTGAGTTGGCACACTTTGTGATCTTCAGGGTTTAGTCATGGCTCTGCAATCCAGAATTGCTCCGTGCATTAGCTAGGGGACCACATGGGATTCTAGGGATGGAACCTGGGTCAGTCAAGGCTCTACCTACTATTCTATCAATGAAGCCCCAAAACGTTTCTTTTTATCTTGATTTTACTATACATAAGATTTTCTGTTTATCTTGATGGGCTCATAGTATTTTTCACTTTGTAGGATTATTTCTTTCATCAATTCCTCCAATCTTGCTATCTTCCCTGTTATAATGGCATTCTAATTGCACACATGATGAACTTTCATGTTATCCCAGGTTCCTCATGAATCCTTTTATTTTATAAACTGTTGTCACACAATCTAATGTACTTTTTTGCCTTCTTCCAATTTAATAATTCATCTTCCAGGGTCACCTACATGCAATGCATGTTATCTCAATCCCTGTACTATCTCATGGGCCCTAGGATCTTCATTTTTAAGTGTCTAGTTTATTACTAAGGCACTATACTATGTCAATCAATTCCTTACCCTGATTATAATTCTTTAAACTATCTGATTACTCTAGTATGAAGATTTTTTGAGCCTTGTTTATATTATCATTGTTTCTGTTGTTTTATTGTATTTTATTTTATATATCTGGTTATTGTTATTACTTTCAGGACTATACCCAGGAGTGCTTAGGGGTCAAACCCAGGCCTCCTGCATAAAAAGCACACCTCATAATTTTTAGAGATGCTATACATTGTATATTAAAAGCTCGTGTATTTTTCTATATACTCACTCCTTTATAGTCCAATATATCTAATACTAGAATAATTTTCCTTCAGAACAATCTTCTTGGGCTGGGATGTATCTCAATGGTAGAGTATTTGTCTTTCCTGTGTGAGGCCTTAGGTTTGATACATGGACAAACACACACACACACACACACACACACACATATAAAACAAATCCTGGAAACAGTTCTTACTTTTGTCTCTGAAAGGAAGATAAGGTAGGAGCATTAACAATTTCAGATCACCTTAGACGAGTCAGAGTGAAAATTCTTTGAAACTAAGGTGGATTCCTGTGGGATTACTATGTTTATGGTTACTATATTTCCAATTTACCTTAATTCCAGTATTGGCCCTTCATGATCTCGATTTTATATCTGGGATTTGCACTAGTCACTTTCTGAAAGTGGAACTAATGTAGTCAACATTATCTCGTGAACAGAGAAACAGAAAAGGAAATGAGGAAATAATCAGAAGTTCGCTAAAATGTTTACTCGCATCCTTCACTATAAGCATATCTTAAAGTAATCTACTTGCATTATTTAAAAAAGGCAAATCAAAGTCCAAAGTTGTAATTTTTACAATTCAAAGTTTAGTGTTTAACAAGAAATTTCTGTTCCCTTGAGTAGGCCCTTCCCTTCACAAGGGAAAAAAAACCCTTACTAGAACAAGAAATTGGCTCACATTGATGATCTTTTAAATAAAACTCTCCTAGAAACTAGTTTAATTGTAGTACTCATATTATCAAAACAAGCTTGTCATGAGTATGAGTATAAAATGAAGTTTTAAGAGACATACATTGTTATAATAAAACCTTTGGTCACTGTTCTTTGACATTTCTTAAATCTAATTTCCGTATCACCAATACAGCAGACATAAATTCTTTCTAATAATATAATCACTAAATTCCTTAATTTTTGTTATTTTTAAAAATTTCATGCTACTTTGTCACTCTGATGCTTCTATATACCCACAGGAGATCTGATGGTGGTATATTTACAATTTTGAGTTCCTGAACCCTTGCTTGAACAGCCAGAGTAGCAGCAGGTGCTAACATGAGATCTCATTTTCATGAACTCAGAAGAATCCGTTCACTGTGTGAAGAATACATACACCAACTCTTTAGAGACACCTGACTCTTAAGTTTGATTTTTGAGGTAAAAAAAAAATTTGAGGTAAAAATTTTTGAGAAAGAAGTAAAATCCGGGGCTGGAGCGATTGCACAGCAGGTAGGGCGTTTGCCTTGCACATGGCTGACCCAGATTCCATCCCCAACATCCCATATGATCCCCTGAACACCACCAGGAGTAATTCCTGAGAGCATGAGCCAGGAGTAACTCCTGTGCATTGCCGGGTATTACCAAAAAGGAAAAATAAAAGGCCCTCCCGTTGATCGTCGATTTGCTCGAGCGGGCCCAGTAACGTCTCCATTGGAGACTTTGTTGTTACTGTGTCTGGCATATCGAGTACTCTCGGTAGCTTGCCGGGCTCTCCGAGAGGGGCGGAGGAATCGAACTCGGGTCGGCCATATTGGCCGCTTGTAAGGCGAACGCCCTACCCTCTGTGCTATCGCTCCAGCCCGCTCAAGCAAAAAGGAAAAATAAAACAGAGGTAAAATCTGTTTTAGTCAGAAATATTAAGGGCTATTAAAAAATTCAGACAACTTTCACCCATTTTGATAATACAAATAATAAAGAGAAGGGGCCACTTGAGCAAACCGAGCAAACCGATGAACAACGGGAGTGACAGTGACAGTAATAGAGAAGGGGAGTGCTTGAGAAAGCCCTAATTTGAGTAAATGGATGGGACTGGTCAATACAAAACCACTGATTTGGTGCTGGAGCGATAATATAGCAGGTAGGGCATTTGCCATACATGCATCTGACCAGGGTTTGATTCGCAGCATCCCATATGGTCCCCTGAGCACCTCCAGGAGTAATTCCTGAATGCATGATCGAGGAGTAACCCCTGTGCATTGCTGGGTGTGACCCAAGAAGAGAAAAAAAAACTGATTATTTTTTTTTTTAAAAAACTCATGTTCCCAGACCATATAATTACAGAAACTATGACTGCATTCATTTAAAGGCAGGTATCTGGGGCCAGTGCAATAGTGCGATGAGGAGGCTGCTTGAGCCGCACACGGCCAGATCGGGTTCATTCCCTTGCATTCCAAATGGTCACCGAGCACTGTCATGAGTAATTCCTAAGTGCAGAACCAGGAGAAACCAACTCCTGAACCTCACTGGGCATGGCCCCCAAACAAACAAAATGGTCAAGTCAAATCTCTTACTAACATTCCTAAGTGAATGAGGTCTTGCCCTTGAAACACATGCATGGCAACTTACCCACAGCATTGTAGAGTGGTTCTCCAGTCACTTTGTCCCAGACTAAGGTCGTTTCCCTCTGGTTACTGACACCGATCGCTTTAAAAAGAGAAGGAAGTAGGAAATTAAACAATCAGAAGACTACTTCACAACAGTTCTGTGTATTTTATGTGGTTTTCCCCTCATCGGCCTCCCACAGGCAAAGCTAAACATATTTTGAAAACTTTTTGGGAACCTCTGGAGTGCTGTTGTGCTTTGAGTGACCATTAGATAAAGGAACACCCAATGTCAAGTGTTTCATTTTATTTCCAGAGATTCCTTCTCACTTGCCTACCAGCACAATGACAAGTATCCAGGCCAAATATATCCATTGAAAGGCTCCCAGGTAGCCTAACACAAGGGACAGGCAAGAACTTTCCAAATAGCTACTTTTATTTTGGGGACCAACAATACAATGGCTTTAGATGCTATTGGCTTATAAGCTAATCGACAAATTAGAGCTTGTCAACAAAATGCTAAATCATACCATCTTCGTCAAACCATCTAGGTCACACTTCATCAGAAGTTCTCAGACCTGGCTGCATATTAGAATCAATTGTTGAGATTCAGAAGGAAAATACCACAGCTGGGCCCTGGCCCAAACACTCCAGTTTAACTAACCTGAGTTTGGTATTTTTCATTAAAATTCTCAGGTAAATTTTTTGTAGAGTTGAGGGTGAATACTATGAACTAAAGGAGTGAGCTTGTCCAGAATTCCAGAATAGGGACTGGAGCAATAGCACCGTGAGTAGGGCGTTTGCCTAGCACACAGCCAACCCAGGTTCGATTGTCAGCATTCAATATGGTCCCCCAAGCACCACCAAGAGTGATTCTTGAGTGTATGAACCAGGAGTAACTCCTGTGCATTGCTGGGTGTGATCCAAAAAAGCCAAAAAAAAATTTCAGATTAAAACAGAAATATTTAGCATCGGCTCTTGGGCTCAATCATCTTGGTCATTACTTGCCATTTGACTACTGAGACAGCATTTCTAATGACAAGATCCTACTACTTGTCATGGCAGACAAATCTCTATTTAATAACCTCAGATTTAAGAGAAAAATTATTTGCAGGGCCTGGGGTCAGCCCAGTGGTTGAGTACCTATTCTATTGCCATGAAGCCTGGAGTTTGATCTCCAGCATGACACCAATTGCCAGGTACAATCCTGGTGGTACTATCTGTGACTTCCAGTGCTACAAAAAAGTGTGCTATTGCTAGTGAGCGCCACTATCACAATGTAACTGGGAGCAATCACTGCAACTAGAAGTGTGGTATGTGATTACCACAAGTTAACTCTATGACTCTGTGAGCAGCTATCTGTATGCCTTGGTCATTGTGGGGAGAAGTGGAGGGAGGAGACATTCTTTTCTTTAGTTTGCACATGTAGATCTAAGCTATATTCTTTAGTAATACATAGAATATTATTTTTTCTTACACCAGTCTTTCGCTATCTTCCATTATTTTGTCTCTTTAGCCTTTGTTATTATTGGATAGGCTAAACAGTCCAGTTTCCTTCAACTGTCCCTGATTTTCTTTTCAAAGGTGTGTTTGAGTCATACCCATCCATGCTCAGGGATTAGTCCTGGCTCTGCACTCAGGAATCACTCCTGGTGGTGCTCAGGTGACCACATGGAATGCCCGAGATTGAACCTGAGTCATCCTCGTGTGCAAGGCAAATGCACAACTCAAGCAAAATTTCAAGTCTTCTCACTGGCTCTTTTTTCTGTTGTTCACAAGATTTATTTTATTTAAGCTCCTGCAAGCATGTGAGAGAGATTCTAGTTTATGTTTGCTTCACAAATGAGAAATCAGAAGCTTAGCTGAGGTCGAGCCAAAGTTTGAAGTAAGGTTTTTCAATTTTCAGAAGAAATCAAGAATGCCACATAACTGGATGGCAGTTAGCTAGATGATTATTATACCTGTCTTATCTATCCATCCATCATCTTATTTATTATTTTTTATTGAATCACTGAGATAGACCCTTACAGAGTTGTTCATAAGGTTTCAGTGATAGTTTTCCAACACCCAACCCTCCACCAGTGTACTTTTCCCAGCATCAGTGTTCCCAGTTTCCTTCCCATGATGCCCCAGCCCCCAGTATAGCAGATGCCTCTCTCTCTCTCTCTCTCTCTCTCTCTGACTCTTAAGAACATGCAGCTCTCTGTCCTTATCAACCAGAAAGAAACACAATAGGTCTATTCTTACAAACAACATATGAGGGGGATGAGCATCTCTCCTATTCTATAGGCTATCTATTCATTGCATTTATCCATTGTGTGCTTACTAATTTTACTAAATACCTTTTCTAAAGGCACAGAGCTAAATGTGTGTCCACTCCAAGGAAACTTGTAGTATTGGGTAAAAGGAAAACATTAGGAGATGTTTCAAGACAGAAGATGCGCGTGCATTTGTAGGGATAAAGTAGAAGAGGAAAGAAGACTGTCGAGTGACTGGTGGCTGGGACTCAAGAACACAGTCTTGATCCTGGTCAAGAGAGGAGAGGGTGGGGTTAATACACAGCTGATAGAAGCTGCTTCCAGCAAGGCCAAGGACTATGACTTCCCTAATCATAGGGAGATAAGATAGATACCAGATCCAGACAGAGGCCTGAAAGACTGGTTAAGGTGGTTGCCTCGACCACTGGTAAAGTCCCCAGTACCTCCTGTGCGGTCCCCCCCAGAACCACCAGAAATCACTGTGAAATCACAGGGCCAGAATTAAGCCTGAGCACTTCTGGATGTGGCGGACAAATGAGAAGGGGAAAGAGAGACAAGGAAGGGATATTATAGATATACATAGAGAATAAGAGAGACAGAGAGAGGAGGAATCCAGACATGAAATGTTGGAACAGGAAGCTAAGCAATGAGGGCCCCAGTGCCTCAATCTTCTCTATAAAGTAGTACACAAGGTTGTTTGCTAGAATGAGGACAAGCAAGTATGTGAATGGGATATAGGCGTTCAAGTGAAACTGCTGGAGATCAAATTCTGATCTCTCTGCCTCTTAGCAGTGTGAGTCTTGGTTTTATCATCCACAGAATGCAGAATCATGCAGTGAGGAGTTCCTGACTTATTTCATATTGCGAAATGCGTGGCCCATGCGAAGTACCCTGTATATGTTATTTACTTGCTGCCACTGTTACCGCTGAGGAAGAAAGTGGAATCAGAGTTGCAGAGAATGGTACTGAGCTAAGCAGATCAGAGAATAATTTCTCACTCTGGGCATAATAGAGACCTGAGACCTCAGTGGAACCTCATCAAGGAGTTGCTAAAACAATGTCAGGGGAAACAACCCAGAGTAATAGTGCTGGGACTTAAAGTAACTGCCTAGCATGCATATGGTCATGAGTTCAAACCCCTGATGTCTCACATGTGATCCCAAATCTTGCAAGCAATTTCTGACTGCATCAAGTCAGGTGGCATGAGCACCCCCAAGAGATGTGACCCCGCACTGTAACTAAAAAGAATACTAAGTGTTAGATCCTTGCCGTGTAAGGGGGACCTTGTGTACATAGTGTGTGCAGAAGTATGTACCACAAGAACCCACCAGTGACTTGTATGCTTCGATGATGAGTGCAAGCACTGGCTAGTTTAAGTGCAAACTTTGGTACCCCCTGTGGCTAACTTCAAGCACCACAGCAGGTGTCACAACCACATCTTCAACAAACAACACCAAAGGCGAGAAACATAAAGCAGAGTACTGGGGAGAGAACTTAGTGTACTGAGCACATGGCAGGTGCTGGTTCCTAAGCACCGCCAGAGGCAACCGCCACAGGGCCTGAAGTAGCCCCAGAGCGCCCGCAGATCTGACCCGAAACCCACAAATACATAAAGTGCAGTACCATAAACACTGGTAACTTTAGTGAAACTACAGGGTGGGTTCATAATCAATTCATAGTCCCCCACATCTCCTGTTCCACACTATTCCATTAATTCTCCAGCCATCAGCACTTGGCCTGCCAAGATGCAACCCCTTAAGCCCCTATTTTATACTCCTCCTACTCCACTTCCTTATTGGGTGATTTGAACTCTGATTTACAATGGAATCCAGAGCTATTTCGAGCAGATTCTTTGGTCACAGGTTCCTCTCTGACCACTCCTTTCTTTCCCCTTGACTTTAGTGTCATTCCCTTCATACCGAGTACACTTGCTAATCTCGCAGATGACCAAAGTTCAGTGAAAGAGCTTCTCAAATTATCCTCTAGGCATAATATAGCTAGTTCTCTCCTCGGGATCACAGGTCTCCGGCCTGGCCTCTGACCTTTTTCTATGTTCTAGCTTCTCATTATTTTCACCCTGCAATTCTCTATAGGGGTGGGGGAACATCCAGGAGTTCTCAGGCAAACCATGCAGTACCAGGATCAAACACAGGCCTCATTTGCCTGCAAGGGTTGTGCTTGGCCTGATGAACTATCTCTGCAGTCCTGGAAATTCTCTAGGCTTTCTAAAGAAACCTTGTCTGACTTCCTCTGGCACATATTAGTAAGTCCTAATTTTAATTCCCTCCTTTCTCAAAATAACATAGGCTTTTCTGCCCTTTTCCACCAGCCCTCTTCAGGAATATATACCAGTTACATGCATAAATGGGGGAGTATGTATTCCTGTACTCAGTGTTCAAGTTACCAATGTTATAACCACCAACATAAATAAAACTCAATGTATTGATCTTGTATATGGCAGGTTTTGATATTTCACTTATGTATTTTCTAGGGGGTGGTGTTCCTCTTCATTGTTAATTGCAAAATAATCCATTTAAATTTCACCTTCAAAATCTGAGTTGCTGAATATTGAGGCAAGAGTGATAGTATAGTGGAATTCATACCCAATTCAATCAGCCTAATCAGTGGCTGAATAAGTAGCAGTTCTCCTACATTTAAAAAAGAGTGATAGGGGGGTGACTAAAACCTCATGGGAAGGGGGGCGTTCCGGTCCGTCCTTCACGCCCTACCAGGGTCACTAGTTGCCCCCCGCGAGCGGCTCTCCAGCACGGCCACGGCCCCAGAAGCACAAGGACTTAATGCAGAACCCAGCAGCTTGGAGCAGAAAAGTGAATGGACTATGCGT